TGTTAGTCTGAGTTATGTTGATGAATCCAGACTATCTGATTGGGGTCCACATGATAACCGCAATCATTGTTTGAAGAGTTTGAGTGACATGACTCGGCATCGTCCATAATAGTGTAGATGCATTCACTCTTCATATTTATCTTGGTTTTAAATTCCAATATCTCTTGATGCATACCTTTTCACTTAGCCTTTTCAAAAGATCCTCCTTAGGTTTAGCATTTCCGTTTGTCATTGTTACCACATTACTTCTATCTGTTTTTTTATTTTCATTTCGTCGTGTAAATGCAGTGTGGTAACTTGGGTCTGTGTAGAATTGTGCCAGGTCACATGTTGATGGTTTCTGTCTGTTTGTCTGGCTATCACGGGTAATGTCTTTCTAATTTTGTCTGCTATTTCCATTTCTGTTTAGCCTTTTTATCTACGGTCTTCTGGAAAAAAAGCATTTGTCCGTGACTGAGCTTGTTATCACTGATAGGGCGATCACATTAGAGTACACTGATAAAGCATGTTTTATGAACATTTCAAGCTAAATTCTTATTATGCTTCAAGTCCATTTCACTATTCCTACCACCACTATATCGTTCAAATACTCGTACAGTTTTTAATTTCAGATTTGTTTGGGGTGTCTGTTGTGTATTCCACCTAATGATTGTTGTTTTTATAAGGAAAACACTATTAGATGATTAACAATAACTGATCATTGATGTGTTCAAATAATTGTTTATCTGCGTGAGCCATAGTATTTAGGTCTATGAATTCATATGAGAGAAAAAACATAGTGGTCAGTAAGTCAGTCAGCTACAGCGTAGGACCAGGCACGTAAATGCGTCGGTCCAAGTTGCCACACCTCATTAGCACAACAAGATAGATACCAAATTCATAGAAGTAGTTACTTCAATGGTAGTAAAATATAAATGACAGATTTCATATAAGGATACGATACAGGGAGAAAGAATTAGTTCGTAGAAAGAAAGGTATAGAGAAATTTTAATCTCACAGTTCAAGGGAAGACAAAAAGTGCGTACACCTAGACCATTGTGATCGATTCTGAGCCATGTCATCCAGACTCCAACCATTGGCTACGATAGTCACGCGGACCCCAACCAAGTAGTCTGCATCCACTAACATGGCTCAGACCAGAGGTTGGTAACTTCAAGCACTGGTGCCACGTTTTGGTTCAGCCGCCCCTAACTTTCTTCCATCCGTCTCTAACACTGGTCAGCATAGCCCGTCGAGGTAATCGGTGTCCAGGCATACGTAACAGGTGACTCAACCATCTAAGTTGGTGGAGATTTACAACCTCATCAACTGATTTACCGTCACTCCCAAATACCCTGCGTTTAGCCTCATTATTAATTACTTGACGATCCCAGCAGACGCAAGCATTATTTTTAAGACATCTGTGATCAAATACTAGTAACTTACGATTATCTTCTCTTAATGGCCACGTTTCGCAGCCGTAAAGTAGAACAGAACGAACTTCTGCTCAGTATACTCGTCCCTTAATTGATAGACGGATATCTCGCCTTCCCCATAGGTGACGTAAGTTGGCAGAAGCCAAACGAGCTTTCTGAATCCGTGCAGAGATTTCGTCAGACACCAACCCATTAGGGCTGATCAGACTTCCAAGATAAGTTAAGTTGTCGACGCGTTCGAATACTTCACTCCCTATCCTTAGTCCAGGTGTTGACACAGGCCAGTCCTGAAGTAACAATTTACATTTGGATGGGGAGAAACGCATCCCAAAAATCCATGCATTGTGAATCAGTGCAACCAAAAGACTCAGCATTTTATCATCGTCTTCGCCAAACAGGACTATTTTATCTGCGTATTCTAAGTTGATAAGTGAACCTCCTGATAGGAGATCAATTCCTGAGAATTCAGTCGACGAGTGTTATTTCCAACAACAGGTCTATAATGAAGTTAGGATAGTGGACAGCCTTGACGGACACCACTTGAGGTTGTAAAATCATATGATAATTCTCCATAAGCTCTCACTCGATTGGTAGTGTTCGAGTAAAGAGCCTTCACAAGGTTTATGTACTTCTGAGGTACACCTTTCAATGATATACACTGCCACAGAACCTCTAGGTCTACAAAGTCAAATGCTTCTTTCAAGTCAAGAAAAACTATCATTGTCGGACGCCGATAAGCATGTCTGTGAACTAAAACCTTGACGAATAGTGAATATGTGGTCGATACAGCCACGACCAGTTCTGAAGCCAGTCTGATTTTCTCGTGTTTGAAGTTCATGAGTCTTAGTTAGGCGCTCGATAATTATTGAGGCTAGTATTTTAAATGCTATATTAGTCAGACTAATCCCTCTATGGTTATCACAGGATGATTTTGACCCCTTCTTATATATTGGGACAATCAGAGATTGTGACCAGTCGGATGGGATTACGTCCGTCTCCCAGATTTTAGCCAGAATATTAGTCAACCTAATCGCTAAAATTGGACCACCATATTTAAAGACCTCTGGAGCCAATCCATCTGGACCAGATGCTCCTCCTCGTTTCAGATTACTTATAGCCTTTTGAACTTCAATTAGAGTTGGGAGGCCTACTTCAATGTTCCATTCAGGTTTTCTGGGAATAGTCGGTAGTTGTGCAGTAGCTGAAGGCCAGCTAAACTGCTCCTTAAAGTGTTCCGCCCATCGTTCTAAACGTTTGGGTTGAGAGCAGATAAGGGTTCCATCTTTTTCCGAGATTGTCTCGCTTACAATTGCCTTCTTAGTTCCAGTTTCTTTTATTAGTCTGAAGAGTTGTCTTATGTTGCCTACAGCCACTGCCTTTTCCATCTGTTTTGCTTTCGTTGCTCATTACTGCCCATGGCTGTCCCGTAGACTTTTGGTTAACCTACATCTGATTTGTTTTCGCTCTTCATCGCGTTCAGAGCCTGATAGGATAAGTTTACAAGGGTCTATCAGTGCAATAGATGTCACAGAAATCCACTGGTTTTTCGTAACCCTTTGGTTCAAATCAGATGTCGCTTATGTTCCTACAACTGTTTGTATATCTTCCCAAGCAACATGTATGTCAGCCTCGTTTTCGAGATTGTCTAAATGTAACTTCAATTGTTCCTGGAATTTATCTTTGGCTTTCTCATCGTTGATTACAAGTCTCATGGGTTTTCGTAATGTGGCTTTTATGCATCCAGTGAGGCGCAAGCAAATGTGTGCTCGTATGGGGACATGATGAAAGTCTAAATATGTACTCCAGAACGAGTGGCAGTCTTCTATCGAACCCCTCCAATGATGACTGATGGCATTTCATTTATTTGTGTCGTTTTGTACCAATATATATGTGTTTAAATAAATAAATGACTGATGGCAATATGGTCTATTTGAGTCCATCGTTGGTTTGGTGCAGGGGTCACCATGTTAGATGCTATCTCTCCTTATGCTTAAAATTAGTGCTTGTTAAAAATAAGTGGTTGTCTGAGTACAACTGCAGCAGATGATCACCATTATATGTTCACTGAGCCGAAATACTAAAATACCTACCTGAATGTCTCTGTTTGGTTTAAGCTATCTACTTGAGCATTAAAGTCACCTGTTACAAGTACTATGTCTGAGTATTTAGCTTTTTGAAGAAGTTCAGAAAGCTTATTGTAAAAGTCATCTTTCACATCATCCGGGAGCGTAGGCAGAAAGGACGAAAAGGCGACGACGTGTGTCCCTATCCTTCAAAGTTCTTACAGAGCAGTTTAGCTGGACAGCACACAGGTGACTGTTAACGGGGATCCATTCTAATAGTGCTTGTTCTGCCCTCGCACTTAGTGCTATGCCTACACCCGCCAGTTTACGAGAACTAGCCATCGGGTGGCTAAATACACGGAGAGTGGGCTCTCTCAGGGGCTCTCCGTTTTGGCGAGATGAGGTTAAGTGATCTGAGAGTGTGACCGCAGTGTCAAAAGGACAACTACTTGAGGTCGGTCACACACAATCTTTTCGTGAGTAATTTTAGTGTTAGCTTCGTACTTGCTGAGACCTTACCGCCGGAGATGGATGTCCGTGGGATAAGGCGATGTGTGCATTTATACGGTCAACCTTTTTTAACCCTACCCTTTCTTGTGGTAAGGTAGCATCGCTGTTATGCTGGTTGTCTGAATGAAACACCTTACTGCCGTCACCTCTGTACAGTCAGCAGTACGACTTCGCCCTTGGGCCTTGGGTTTGCAGCTTTTAGTCCTATCGCTCTTCAACCAACCTGTTTGGCATGGTAGGATCTTGAGGAACGATTATTCCAGCCAGCATAGCTCGATTGGTTCATCACATTAGACATGCCCGACTACCACGTCAAAATAGCAGCAAAGGACGGAAAAACCTATAGTGGGGTTATGGACGTTTAAAAACAATTTCCGAAGTGCTTTCCCATCTGTTTATTGTGACTTGGGTTAGTAAAGGATTAGGTATATTGGTAATCGAAATGCTACATAACACTCACTAATCAAGTTATTTTGAATCTTTTCTAACGCGTTGATAAAAGGATTCTTATCTAGCTTGCTCTGTAAGATGATAGACAATGCCCATTGATATTATTTACTTCCTCAATCTAACTCCGAATAATAAATATTTTGCTTTAAATGATCGTAATTTGTATATATTCACCGGCGTTATTATGATTTTAAGCTGTGTTTGTAGTAACATATACTTCTTAGTCACGTCAGCTTCTCATGGCATACTATGTAGCATGAACTTTCTGTGATAATTAGGAGTATTTGAATTATAGTATAAACTAGTTATCCCAGAAAACAACACAATTTAATCAAGTAGTATTAGATGAACACGAACAAATGTACTGTATTTGGAATTCAAAATCAAGAAGTCACCAATACAAAGGAATCATTGGTTCAGATAAACACTACACTTTCCTTATGACAGTAAATCCATTTGGTAAGAACACATTAAAAATCCGTATCTTATTTTATTTATTTTTGTCTTTTTTTAGTTGTAAATTTCTCTTGTAGTATTCTAGGTTTTTACTCTGTTTGTTTAGCTAATTGGTGTTGTTATTGACAACGTAGATGACACTGATCTTTACATAGATTTTGGTGGAAAATTTCACTGTGTTTGTTCTCAACCGGCTAACCAATTTTATCCACGTGGAAGCTTAGTGTGTATACGCTTAAAAAACCCTGAGTTAACAGGCAAATTTATGGTAAACACTAAGGGCGTTTCAATTTTTGAAGCAGATGCCACACTTCTAGGACCGTACAAAGGCCGACTTGTTAGGACTATACCTGATGAAGAAAAAATGATAACAACAAATGCAGATGGTGTTAAAAGATGGCGTTCCGCTACAGATGAAGACAATGTGGCTTTGGAACATTGGCGCCTCAAATAGCATTTTGTGTAATACTTTTCCTTTTGTATATACATGTTGTCTAGACTAAGTTGATCAATCATGTAATCTCACTATTGTATAAATAAACTAGTTGCCCTTTGAAAAAATTCTTTTGGTAGGACTGTTTTAGTTTTCACTTCGTTTAAAGACCATTCACTTTCCGTTTAATACACTCATAATCTGCACCTCATTTAATTTCAACAATGTCCCTTCACTCAGTACAATTTGTCATTTTAGCATGAATGACACGGATTTCCACAACTATTTTATGAGAACTATCGAATTCTATGCAAACTTATCATATTGGATCCAATCAGTTATACGTTCACACAGTCATAAGTGCACTAATAATGCCAATACATCGTAGCTATAACTATCAAGAAAATAGACTCAGCTAATTCCGACGACGAATGTAGAGACAAAGGCCTTTGAACCTCACAAAATTAAGTGAGGTTCATATCATAGTCATAGTTACTGACTGTCAGGTGATTACGTGCAGTTTGACTAGTCTGTTGTTTTCTAGTTGGGGGTCCATCGAATATTCACGACTGAGAGTTTCACCTGTACTTAACACAAGCTACTATCACAAAGTTTCTCAGGGTAATTTAACAATGCTATCTACAATGGAGTTAACAATGAATGGTAAAATCGACCAACCCTTCCCAACCCCCAGTCACTGGAAACAATTGATATTATCTTCCGCGTATTTTAAGGAATTTGACACACTATTTCGAAGCTGTTATTAAACCATATGGTATGACAATAGTCAATATGTCAGACTCACTTCAATATTCCGTGATAATTCCCACATACCTCAAGCAGATTATTTTAAAGATAAGTAGTTTGTTAGCTTCACTAAAGAATCATGGAATAATAAAATATAATCCCAAACAATTCCTCTGTAGAATGACAGTCATTTGTGCTAGGTCTCTTGTGATGTTAGATTACACCTTGCTCTTCTTAAATTTTAATTTGGTTGGTTCAATTAGTAGTGGACAATCGTCTAATGAAGTATACTGAATGAACAGGTTTTCAAAGGGTTTATCTTCTGGATGCCTTAAAATATCATTGATCAAAATTGAATCGACCTTGCAAGCTGAATTATAGACCCAAAACCTCTTGGAGCTAAGACACGCAATGTATAGAAGTTTCCGTCGAATGTTAGTTGTAACTATTGGCCGTATGTCGGTACACTACTAAATTACTGTAACTCAGTATGAAATAGTAATAGTTATTTGTAATAGTCGACATGGGCATTCTGTATAAGAAATACAGCCAATGCACATCTATATTTTTTTTTAGGTTGACAGATATATTGTAATACATTTTGGTTCTGTAACTAGTTGCTATACCAAATCTATGACTGGAGTTAGCTGAAACAAATCTTTGTACGATTATGATTCTTCATAGATAATTTTGTTTCTCTACTATGTGTCCTATTCAGAAAAGCACATGTATACAAATCTATGTATAATTATCAATAAATGACAAAACATTTCTCCACCTTGAGTTTTTAAATCACTGTTGTTAACAAATTTATTCCACTTAGTTAATTCAGTGTTAACAACCTATGGTTCATCAAATAATAATGGAAAGGAGTTGGTTTATTCGAATAATAAAACTACAACATATAAATCAGAAAACGATACAGGGTTCTATCAAGTGTTAATATAAGCAAATTACTCACTCCTGTCAACTCTCATGGTGTATAGGGTACTGACACGGAATCTCCAACCAACTCTGTCATGGGCTCTCCTCTCCATTTGTACTCAAGTGCTATTCATTCTCTTGATATCCGCCTCCAATGCTCAGCACAATATGTCCTCTAATCTGTCTCTTTCTTATTCCTTCAGGGTTCCAAGTTAGCACTTGCCTCGTGATACAGTTTGATGATGTTTGTAGTGTAATTTATCCGTTTCCAGCATCTTTTTCTAATTTATTCTTCAGCTATAGGCTGGTTTCTTCTATGCCGGAGTAGGTTTTTACTAATGGTGTCTAGCTAACAGATCTAGAGTGTCTTGCATATACAGCTATTGATAAATACCTCTACCTTTATGATGATGGTTGTGTAGGAAGCAATTTCTTACATGTGCAACTCTGCTATTCCCTAGACTGTCGAGCACAGTCTTGGTTTGGCCAAAGTCAGAACAAGTAAGCTATTGGCTTAATAAACTTATCTGTTTCTAAAACGTAAGTTATCAATGTTTGTATACATTACAGTCTATTACATAGGAAAAATGAGAGATATAAATAACATACCGAACAGTAACTAGAGCATAAGAAAAATGAGTCAACAAGGCGAATATTGTTTTACAGTGGACATAAAATTGTGATTGGTGGATAAACAAGACATAGTCATACAAAGTTAAAGAAAGTTAATATAGTGGTGTGCATTTCACCTTATCATTGATGTGTTCGTTAATCGATCCCACTTTACAGGTTGTGTAGTCATACAAGTTTAAGCTCCGTACAGTAGAATTGTCTTGACGTTCGTATTGAAGATTTTGACTTTGATGTTGGTTGACAGCTGTTTTGAGTTCCAGATGTTCAACTGTAGAAATGCCGTTGTTTTACCAAACTGTGTCTTCACATCTGCATTAAGCCCTCCTTGTTTGTGAACGATACTGCCCAGGTACGTATAGGCTTCCGCCTCTTCCAGAGCTTCTCCATCAGTTGTGAATTGGTTGGTGCCGACTGTATCGCATTTGGGGACATTGTTGTTTTTTCCCTTGTTAATGTTGAGAGAGTCTAGCACTGACCTCCACCCGGTATGTATTTGTGAGCTGCCCACCATTCATGACTTAGCAGTGCAGTCCATCGTATGAGTTCCGTATGATGTTGATGATATCAGGTACACCATAGTATTGAAGAAGGTTGCATAAAGTCCTGTTGTTCACACTGTCAAATGCGTTCTCATAATCAAGTAAGTTGATGTATAGTGATGAGTTTCATTCCGGTGGTTGTTCAGCAATGAACCGTTGGTTACGATATAGTGGGTACGAAAGCCAGCCTGTCGATATCGATATTATGGGTCTTCTAAGTCTTCCGTCCGGTTTATTTACACTATTGGAAACTTTACTTGGTAATAATAGTAGTCTGATGCCCTTGTAGTTCTCACACTTACTAAGATATCAGGAAATATCGTGAATAAATTCGACCACAGACCAACTGTCCCAGATAAGGAGGAATAGACTATGGAAAGCCAAAATGTACTATTGGGATGGGAAGACATATTTGTAAAATTAAACTGGGATTATACATGGATGACATAAATGGTTCATTTTGACACGTTGCTGTTCTCAAACGAGATAAATGGCTGGATGTAACAAGCTACTTACTAGTAATAGGTAGTATCGCTACGATAAAGTTAAAATGAGCTTAGACAATGAGGAGCATGTTAGTATAAACCTTACAAATTTTATAAATAGTCAGTGGTTGAGGGGAAACTATTTGTATTCAGCTTGAATCACAAATATTTCATCACAGTTCACAGCTATTTCTCTTCACAGACTGAAATCAACAAACAAATTATTGGAAATCATAGAATAATAAACATCTGTCTCAACCTAGTAGTATGGCGTAGAGCGATGAGATTAGTGGATTCAGTGAGTTTTGTTCCCCTCAGTTTACTGTTTTTGTAAACCTCTTTAGGATAATTGTTTGCGAACAACGTTTTAGGTCAATTTGTGCGCCTCTGTCTAGGTCATCTGTGTTGATACTTTATGTAATAACGCATCATCCATTTGAATATTGAACAGTAGCACAAAGGTAGAGTTTCCTTCCAAATGTACCCCTGTACTAACAAGCTGTCGAAATCATTATGTGGATATGCGAACATGCTGACAGTCAAGTTGTGAACAGTTGTTACTTTATAGTCCATATGAATCACCCCATCTGGCCGTGGAGATGCAAAACATACTGCTGGGTGCTTTCAAGTTAACACTTGTACATAATTTTATGATCTGAAGTCAAACTAAAGAAAAACAACTCGTAGAACTGTCTCACTCCTCACATCCATGGGATACATATACATTTTTAGCAATCGTACTTATTGCTAGTATCGAGGGAAAAAGAGAGTCTAGAATGATCCGTAGTACTTTGTGTAATTAATAAAGCAGAAATCCTCATATTGCTTTGAATCATATTCTAGTAGTCACGAACTGACTAGTTCTTGAAGAGAGAAGATGATCGTGAACTCACACACATACTTTATAATAAAATATTAATAAGAGGAGGCAATCATATACAAAATATTTTTCATTTAATACGAATACCACATACTGTTCGAATAGTAGTTACACTACATCTACTTTTCCTACAAACCCATAAACTTCAATACGGTGCTGTTTACTCTTCGCTTTGTGATAGAGGAGTGGATTGTGAACCTGGTCTTTATCATGTTGAATACAGTCTCTATGGGTTGGACACCTTTTTCGCAAGGTTCTAAAACTTAATGACTTGAGGGATTAGCAGACATTCTGAACAATAATAATTTCCTATCATATTTAAAATGACCAAATTTCCTCATAGAGTGGAGTTCATTCCAGTTGCGTTCTACCTGATTCTATAGTTTTCATTATTTTCCATACATCTCCCATTTTGTATTTCATGATTATCCCATTTCTATTGCGTCACAATAGTGTCGTTTCGTTTCGTTTGTGCGATAACTTTCTTCGCGTCCTACTATATCACATTTTTTGTATAAGATAAAAGGTCGAGATCAAAAGGATATTTATTGTTTGCCATTATATTAAAAATATTAAAGATTCCCATTGTGAAAATTAGAACAACACATGTAAGCGAAAACAATTGTTCGGTTACATGTGCCATTATATTTAATTTGTCAAAGAATAATCTGCTTCACTGTTTGTATACGATGCTGTTTATTTAGACACAATATCAATACCTATCCTAATCAATACACTGGAATGTCAAACATGAAGTAGTTTTATAATAGAAATGTTTTTTCGATTCCCCAATGAGTAAAAAGAATTACAATTTCCGACTTTTCATTACTCAGTGTAAACTACTACTGAGAATAAATAAGTCAACAAATTAAATTCACCCAACCTTAAATAGTACAAGGTAATAAAACAAAAAT